CGCCTCGCCGCTCACGGCAATTGTGTACGCGCCGGAGCACAACCTGCTCGCCACGGGCTCCGCTGTGGGCGTGGTAGAAGTGTTCGACACGCGCGCGCTAGGTACGCCCGTTGTGGCGTTCACTCGCGGGGAGGCGGGAGTCGCAGACTTTAGATTCGCGGAGGATGGGCAGTCGTTGTTGGTAAGCACCGACGACGGGCTGCCGTTTGTGGCGCGAATCGTGGCTGAACCTGTGCGGGTCGGTGCCGAGATCGTGGGGACGGACTGTGATCCAGTACGGAGCATCCGTGCTGTCGGTCGCGATGTGTGGACTGCAGCGGATGATGGTATCGTTCGGAGGTATGCATCTGCTTGTTGAAGCGCAAATCGAAGAAGTTATATTGCCAACCAAAATAATCCAAATGAGCCAGATCTTAAGTTGAGTCTACTTACGAAGAACCTTGAAGTCAGTCTCAATTTTACCTTTTCTGAGATCTGTACTAACAATTCCGCCGGTGTGGAAATCGAGCGGAGTCAGTGAACTCACAGTTTATTTTTAAAGTTTTGCGAACATAAGTTTAGGAGGCCCCTCGAGTTGTCATCAGTCTTGCTCGCTCGCTTGCAGCTTCACACTTTTAGATGAACCGGTCATGTTCATTGTTGTTCGAAAGTTGAACTTCGCTAATTTACATTCCAAAACTAACTATCCTCTACTAGCGACATGTGGCGGCAATCTGTACGAAGGTTGATGGTCTGCATTGCCAAATACGACCCAGCTCTAGAGATAAGCGGCAACGATCTCTGCGTCATGCTCGTCAGAGCGAAATGCTTCTCTGAATCAGCCAGAACGATTATCTGGTAGATTCTCATCAGTCCCGCACTGGTAAACTGCCATGGGATGACTGACTGCTCTGGTTGCCCTGATTTTTTTTTTCTTGCTTCCACAAGATCACGACTGGCGCACAAAGCGAAGCTCAGAGTAGCATTCAAAAATGTTGAATGAGCAGCCGAAAGTTCCGTCTCGATTCGAGCCCAAGCCGTAGATATGTTGGCAAGAATTTTTCTTTGTTCCGCATTCAACCGGATTGCCTCTTGAATCAGTCGCATAAGGAGAGTGCAGTGCGAGAGGGAATAAGGCTTGGTAGCGCCCGAGGTGCGTCTGCGTTTAATTCGTAGGTTATTGAATACTCAGTAGAAGGTGCTCGTCTGACCTGAGCCCAAGCCATGAATTTGGTGTTCCAAGCCTAGTAATTCTTTTTATCGCCTTACCAAGTGCTTCATGAATGAGTTGCATAAGGAGAGGGAAATGTACCAGGTAGGAAGGCTTGGTAGCACTGGGAGTGCGTCTACATCTCATTCATGTTTAGTTTGAAGATTTCGTAGAAGGTGCTCGTTCGACTCGAGCCCAAGCCATCTCCCATCTCGCCGGTGCGATTCTTTTTTTTTTGACATTTGTCTCTTGAATACGTCGCATAAGATGAGCACTTACCAAGAATGAGGTTTGGTGGCGCTCGGAGCACGTCCGCATGTAATAGTTGCATATTGTAAAATGTTTGAACCGCAGAAATGCTCATTCGACTCGAGCCCAAGCCATCACTCCGCATCGGAACTATTTTGCCGATTCTTCTCAAATGGGCGCATAAGGAGAGGGAAATATACCAGGCAGGAAGGCTTGGTGGCGCCTGGGGCGCGTCTGCATTTAATTGAGGAAACGAAGACCTCAGCAGAAGGTGCTCATTCAACTCGAACCTAAGCCGTTTGTCGCTTTCGAAGCAAATTATTTGTCGCTATATTAATTCCCACTTGGATGAATCGTATGAGGACTGGACACATATCAAGTGGAAGGCTTGGTAGCGCTCGGAGTGCGTCGGCATTTAATGACTTAGAAAAATATAACACAAAGGATGTCCTGCGGAAGGTGCTCGTTCGACTCGAGCCCAGGCCATGAGTGCTAATCCACGAATGTTTTTGTTTCGCGCCGTCACCAGGAGAGCACCAATACCCCGAGAGAACAAGGCACCACTACCCAGACTGTTTTATAGCGTTGTGAATGGCTCTCTTAACTGATCCTCGGCATCTCGCTTTCTAACCTTCTCATAAGCCCTCGCCCAGTGATCTTTCCTGTGAACCTCCCTGCCGAATAATAGGAGCCACTGACTCTGGGTTGAAGTGACTGTGATGAAACATCGGTGGCGGTGGGGACATCCAATCTGGAAGAACCATCGAAAGTTCCGCAGGTGTAGCTCGTTCGACGCAGCGTTCCGTTGAACCATCAGCACTTTGGCGCCTGGCATAATGAGGCTCAGATTAGCACGAGAAAAGCGCATCTGCGTTTCAACATCGCCACTGTCATTCAATGACTCGAGCCCAAGCCATCTGCCGCCTTCCGAATAATTATTTTTGCCGTTATACTGATTATGAGTCCCTCCAACTGAGTCGCATAAGGAGAGGGAATATACTAGAGAATGAGGCATAACGGCGCTCGGAGCGCGTCCGCAGTGATGGAAATAAATGCAGTATGTTGTTCTACGGAATTCGAAGTGCTTGTTCGACTCGAGCCATTCGGGGGCAATATTTTTCGGACATTGTAGTTGGCTCGAGTCTGAGCCATCCGAGTAGATGCTTTGGTTGGACCCAATCTAATTGTTGTAAACTCCCTTGGTTTAGGGTTTCCTCTGTCTCGTTCTTATTCCTTTCTTGTCGGGAGGCGAAAAAGGTTACCTGACTCCCCCCCAATCGCTCTCATTCATCAAAGGCTGGCTATCAAATAAGTAAATCAGATTCTGAACAGCTGAAAAGCACAAGATAGCATAGCAACTAAGTACATAGAAACAGAAAAAGAAACATTTTAACTCCCCGTAGGGTGTTATCCTTTGAATTTTCTCATTTGGTTGAATCAAGCTCCGGCCAGGAGTTTCCTGTTCTCCCTATCCTCTTGAAGTTGCTCCTTTCCCTCTTGTTTTGGGAACTAATTAGTATCCGCCACACTGGAGAGCATAGCTGATGGTTTAATGGGTGTATTGAGGGAAGTAAAATGGGCAAATCCTTCACGATCATCTTGATTTGGAGCACAAAGTCTGGCATCAATTTGAGCTACATCATTTGTTTGCGATGAAAGCTCGAAGAGTGGGCGAGCATTTTTCCAAAGTTCTATTGCCTCAATCAACTGCCCTTTCTTCTCAGCCAGATCTCCAAGCCGTAGCAGACAGTTAGCTCTACTGCGATGGACATCCATATATGTGAATCCTTCCAGTGCTGCAGTAAAAAGACTGTGGGCTGTCTCTTCATCTCCATTATGCAGGAAGATATCTCCCAAAAATTGAAGTGCCTTGTGGAGGTCCAACTTTGCCCCGGTTTTTGTTGCATGCCCAAGGTAAACTATTGTCCATTTAGATGACCAGTCAAAGTCAGCAACCTCCCATTGAGTAATATTAGCAAGTCTCTCTAGGCAGTAAGACACAGCTTGCTCCATTCTCCCCCAAGATGACTGAAGACACTTCTGGAATAGGGTTTTTGCAGCTGCAGTATCTCTGTCTCTGAGATAGAGGTCTGCCAACACAACTTCACAATAAACAATTTCAAACCCCTGTCCAATAGTCTTAATAATGGCTTGAGCTTCATTCAAGTTCTGTTGAACATTGTGTTTGCTTGCATTAATCATGACCTCAATCTCTGCAATACTGAGCAGTGGGAACAAATAGGGATAGGGATTTTGTTCAGCAGAGGTACTGTGCAAGATATGGGTGTATATTGTTTGGGCCTGAGCATATTCAGACTTGAGCAGGTGTACCTCTGCCTCATGATGCATAATGGCAATATCTAAGGTCCCTTCACTCAAGCCACAGAGTTTCAGGAGCTCTCTTCCTCTAGTAAGAAGGATTATACTCTGCTTATAATCACCTAGGCCTATGCAAGAAGAAGCTTTAGTACGCAGTATTCGGGCTTCTTCATAGCAATCTGCAGATACTTGAGCAAGTCTCTGTGCCTCACAGGCATCTGCCCAGGATGTATGATAGTCTCCAGTCATCCACCTGATTTCTGCAATACTGTGCAATATCTGGGACTGCTGGTCGCTGTTTGCAGAAGATCTTGCCAATGCTAGGGCCTTTTGAAGAAAAGTCATGGCCCTGGGGTTATCATTTTTAGAAAACTGATAATAAATCCCTACTGCCTTGTAAAACTTAGCTAAGGATCATTGCATGTCAGAAAGCTGTATGAATTAAGTATTGGGGATAACTCACACTCAAGAACTGGATCATTGAAGTTGAAAAAGTGAGAAATACCCTGTTGCACTAGAAGTTCTGGAGTTGGTACTGGATGGTGGTTCCGTGACAAAAATGTCTCTGTAATAAAATATGCCTCCAATCTGTGATTGCAAGGCTGAGGAAGAACATTTCCAACAACTTCCATCAAATCAAGCCAACCATGACCTCTCAGTCGGCAGAAGGAGTTTAGCAATATTGTGCACTCTATTGTATCAGAGAGATATTGTTGCCTAAATGCAATCCTTGTCGAAGTACTTGCTGCAGGTTTCCCAAATTAGCAGTTATTTGATTTATATTTGCCCCCATGTGGTGAACTCCATAATGTCTTTCATAGAGATCAATAAGCATATGAAAGTGTTTTTGCCAAGATTCAACAAGTTGTGCTGAAGGTGGATGGAATTGCCAGACATGTTCTCGGATAGGCACCAAGGACTTCAGCCGTTGGCTGTTGTCAATATAAGCCAATGATGTGGCAAGCAAGGTTCCTTTACATGCCAGAATGTTCTGGATAGGGAGCCCACTTTGGCGAAGCTCAACATCTGAGAGCCCATCTGGAAGTATTGAGAGAAGGCTCAACAAGTGTTTGGCCCCAGGTACAGAGTGTATCCGAGAGCTGGAAAGAGACAATGCAATGGATGCATCTAGACTGGATCGTTTGTCATGACCAGATGAAAGAAGTGAGGTCCTCTTTGTCTCCCAAAGGCTCAAAACATTGGAACAGCCTTCAGAATCAACAAGATGGGCAATAAGATCCACTGCCAAAGGCATGTTATCTGTAAGGCTGAGAAGATGGTTGATGTCCTCGCTTTTATGAGAATCTTCTGCAATATCAACAAAAGTCTGCCAAGCAGCATCATTTGACAAGGGTGTCAAAGGTTGCAGAAATGGTCGAGTCCAGCGGATCTTGGCCGGTCTTTCTGCACCTCGCATTGTGATCTATAGGTACCAGTCATTTGGCCATAAGGGCAATAAATGCATGTACTCACAATCAATGCCAAATGTGTTATGTCTGCTAGTAGAGACAGTAACTCTTCAACACCATGTCGGGACTCCATTGGCTCCCATGATGTTTCCAGATTGTCTAAAATCAAAAGTGAAGAGGGCCTGCTGGAAAAATATCGAAGGACAGGTTTTGTAAGATCTTTTCCTGGCTTCAGTCCTAGATGGGCCCCAAGGAGGGCAGCTATTCCAATGCCATTGCTTGCTGAGTCACAGGCTACAAAAACCCGATGTTCATAGCTGGTGGCAATGTCTGGATGGTGTAAAGCAGCTCGGACAAGACTTGTTTTTCCCATTCCACCTCCGCCAAGAACTGCAATCCGGGGTGTGTCTTTGTTGAGCATTTTCACAATATCTTGAAGTTCAGATTCCCGGCCATGAAATATCTTGGGTCTAGATGGTAACATAGAAAATGAATTTGAGCTGGATAATCAGATGTAAGTATGATTTTGATGGCAAGTGTAGGCTCTACCTGCGGTGTGATTCATTGGGATATTGATATATCTAATTCATAATTGGTCAGTTTACTTAGACAGAGGGCAGTAAATTACACACAGAGGATGATCTGTCAGAGTTTGTTCCATCCGATAGAGTCGAAATCAATTCAAGAAGTTCCTTGTGCATGGTAGCAGCTGTCTTCTGCATTTCTGCAACACTAGTGAATATAGTAGCATCGACCTAAGCAACAGTAAATGTGTGCCTTCCACCAGAATATGGGATCTTGACCTTGAATATATCCAGAGCTTGTTGCAATCCCTCACGACACTCCCTGAACAGATTGCTAATCTCATTCTGTCGGAAAAAGTGCTTGATCCTGTTTCCACCCTGTTGGACTTCGATGAACATATGAATTTTGTGAAGTGTTCTGGAAACCTTGTTAACAAATAATCAAGAAACAACGAGTCCTCTATTTACTCAGTCAATTTTCCGATTTGATACAGTGTTGTCGGTGGCAGGGATCCGCCAGTTTCAGATTTTATGTGCAAGTCGATGATAGCATAAAGAATTCCATGAATGTTTTCCATAAGCTGAACACATTCATCCTTGTTCTTCTTCACTTTCTGAGATACAATAGGATCAGTTTGACTATGTGCGAAGTTAGATTTCTCTACCTGCACCGCAGTAATCAAAGAGACAGTTGTGTTCGAAATAGCTAGCAAAAAGGGAGTGCTGAATGTGTCATGTAGCTCATTCAAGAGTGGTACAGTCGGAGTCAAGCAGGTTATGATGTTGTTCAAGCGGCTTTCAGTGGTAGACTGATGGGGCATTTTGGGATGTGAGAGAGCAGTCGGGATGAGCTTCTTATATGGACTACCTTTCGTTCTTCGTTTCCCCCATCAACTTCCTTGATACTCCAGTCCTGCTTCGTCTCACGAATATGGGTAAATGCAACTCACTAAGGACTGGGAGTGCTCCCGCCAGCTTCTCATGTATTTTAAGAACATTGGTGGGAGCCGTTTACTAATAAAGTTCTAATTCAACCCTCGGCAGTTTAAGTGAACACATAATTCAGCTTCCGGGAGCTGTGCCGATCGAGCAGTGCTGCAGTAAAATAAATGCACCCAATGATTTATATGTACATTTCGGAATGGCCGTGCCTCGAAAGGAATGCTAGGAGCAAGTGCGGGAGCGCACTCCCTGCCATACCCAATAATAAATATACACATCCCACGCGCGTAGG